CTTTTTGTAAGTAATGTAACTTTTTGAATCTTTGGCACTATTTTGAAAAACAAACATAGGATTTTCGGGGGGGGGGGCTATAGCCTCTCACTGTTTTTTGCGATGATAGACATAGCATATGCAATGGACCTTTCTTTGCAAACATTGTTCTTGCTTTTAAATTTCAAAGAAACAGCTTCGTGTGTTCAATGGGCGAGAGCTTACAACGTTGATAACATAATGAGACATGATGCTTTTTTATGTCCAAACATTACTCCATACAATGTGTGGGTCATTGCAAACAATCTAGCTATTTATATGAGGTGCCTGAAGGAAATCTTATAACTGCCTATTTTTTCTGTCTAACTGCTGAACAAAATAGACATATGTACCAACTTTTCGAATGTAAGACATGTAATTACAATTTGTTTTTCATGCACTGCATATTGTTTAACTTTTTCAAATTAAATGCTAAGCATCCTCCTTGCAGTGCCCCATTTGAAAATAACTTCTATCGCCACAGAAAAAAGACCCGACGTAAACACATATGTTTAGGACATTTTTTATCTTTTTTCTTGAGTTTTAAAGAAATCAACAAATTATCAAGACTTGTTCCATGAAAAATTAAATATAATCATGGTAATAAACGCATCTATCCACAGCAGATATATGCACAGGCCAAGCACGTGCTCAGTGGAATAATATTAACAAGGAAATTCGAGCTGTAAACAGAACAGTTTTTCCCGATTTGCTGGAGTGGGGTTAAAATCGCGTTTTTTCATTATTCAGACGATGCGATGCAACAAATAACAGTAGTAAGTAATATAACATAATGATTATTACTTAGCAATTTCTTGTCTTGATGTTATTATGGTCGCATTTATTCTAAAATCAATGTTATTCGAACTCCGTGTGACAGAGGAATGGCGGACGAAATAAACACATGGCCTCAGGAAGACACCCATATGAAAAATCAAATTTTCAAGAATTATGGATAATGACAAGAAAAAAGCGAAACAAATGGTTGTAGCCATATTATCAATGAATCAAACTAACTCCATTTTCAATGCATTTTTCATCTCGTGAATGCTGTAGCTGCGCAGTTCTAACATGATTAATTTCCTCCTAATTAAAACAAAATAAACTTAATTATTTACTAATTTTGGTCTCTAACAGTAGGTTATTAGTGCATTAACACTTTGAGTAACTTTGGGCTAGTGTAGTAGTGTATTAAGCGCATTCTTGGTATTTCTTATTTTACACCAGACTAGATCCAATATGGCTTGTACATCCCCCTTAAGCAAAATTGCCTGATTCTTGAAAATAGACCGCGTCAGTACCTGTAATGTCCTTGTACTAGTCCTCTCGAGCTGGGAGTCACATTTATCAATTGGTGTGCGTATTTCAATATGAATTTTCAAACAAGACTGCAAGGTAGCCACTACCTCCAAATGGATTTATGAGTTATGATCGACGGATATTTGGATGCACTAGCAAACCCTTTGATTGCTACCAAAGAAAGTATAGTGTTACAACCTTGTTTTGCACGGGCTTATTATACGGTATTTATATTATTATACCTCATTATAAATATTCTAAACAACGTGTTATCTGATTGGTTCTAAGTTATCAAGTGATCGGGCCGTAAAACTTCATATTTCCCGGCCGTCAGCATGATTTTCGTAGCAACTGCACCTCTTCGGATACTTAGTGCATTTTCCCGCAAAAATTATCGTTCGTTTAAAGAAATCTCCAGAGAGTATAGTAGACGTCACAATAACCAGGTTTACGTCATAAAATTGATGATAATGTGTTGACCAAAGAGTTTTAATAACGTTTTGTTAAAAATGAAAGTGAATTTGAGAGCGGTGCCGAATTTGAAAGTTTATGTTTAGTTCAAAGGTTTTGCTTGTTTCGGTATGATAAACAATTCATTACATGAATGTTCGGGAAACATGAAGACTTATTCAGCCAAGAGATATCATCCTCAGCATCGGGGAATATAATTTTCTTGGCTGATGAAGCCCTGGGGAATATGATTTTTCTTGGCTGAATCAGTTCATATTTCCCTCACTATCATGCAATAAATGTCTGATCTCTTTTTTATCATAAAAATAAACAAGAATAAACCCCTCCCGAAATACCAAATTTTATTCTAATTTCTTTACATTCATCAGTTATTTCCCTTTTATAAAATGCTTGCACTCCATGCATCAACATAATGCAAGGTAATGCAAAGTAACAAAAATTTAATGTAATGTAACATATATCATTAAGAAATAGATTTAATGTATCAAGATGTAAACAAAAAAGAATTATAATATTCTTTTGTTGTGGATCAAATTAAACAATCATGTACATGTAACTTAGGTCTGTAGACAAAAATTACACTAACGCAATATGCATATTACGTGTGATTTATTTGTTGCTGAAAATTAAATAAAAAATGAATGTTTAGTGTCAAAAAAATAAAAATTGAAAAATCTTAAATATGTATTGCACATGTATAAATAAATGAAGTGATCATTGACTTTTTCAACCCATACTTGATGTGAAGTGTTATGTACATGTATGTAGGATTCGCTGTAAAGTAACACATGTAACATGTAGGGTGAATTCACCATGCATCGGATACCCTTGTACTTCAACAAGTTCTAGCGATATCGCTACCGACGGAAAATTATCAAAATGGAGTTTAACATTTAGTTTGTGATTAGAATATCAATTTGGGACACAATTATATGCCCTTTATTGAGAAAATATCCTCAAAAATGGAGTTTTTAGGAATAAGTCAAAATTCACCATGGATCGGACATTGTTTACCATGCATCGGACAGACGGTATTTTAACCGGAAAAATATCGTACCTTTATTATAGTTCTTTAAATTGCTTGATATGGATATATTTTTGTCTTTTATCAAAGAAATAACCCTCAACTTAAATTTAATTGACGATATCATTGCACAAATGTAGAACGACTCAAGAGACCTCACTCTGCCTTAGAAATGCTTTAAAATGCTTATAATGCGGTTATTCGCGCCTTTTTTCATGGTTTATCATACTCTGGTTTGTAGAAATAAATTGAGTCAAATTCCAGACGTCATATATCGATAACTTGTATTTTGACTGAAAATATAGTTTTTTTATTTTCTTTTTCCGCAAAAAACAGCTATCAGCTGGGTTCTGTATGAAAATGGTAGCGCTTACCTTTGCATCGGAAAGTGTCCGATGCATGGTTAATTTGTGTCCGATGTACGGAGAAATGAACATATTAGTGAAAACCAGCTCTAAAAAGAATTATACAAACATTGAAGTGAAATTTCTTTAAAATTTATGTAAAATTACCAATCTTTGACTTTATCCACCAAAGTCTGACCCTTTCCGTTGAAGTCGAATTTTAAGAACGATAACTCTAAAAATCGCAAAATCATAAATTTCTGGTTATTCCCCTTTGATGATGTAAAATATGACGTAACTTCAAGGCCATTCTCGAGATATTTTTATCACAACATGATAATAACAATCGGTATCATTAAAAAATTTAAATCTTCAGCTTTAAGACAGAAACAAATAAATACACGAAACTCTTAAGTTGAAAGATAGTTTACTGCCTAAAGTTGTCCGAAGCAAGGTATGTGTCCGATGCATGGTGAATTCACCCTATTGAATTTGGAAATTACGTGTAAAAAACATGTTGATTCAATATTTTAATTTGTTACAACTAAGGCATTGTATGGCAATATATCTTTCATATTTATATTATTATTATTGTCATTTTAACTTTCAATCTTACTTTTCATAATTACACATTTTTACTTCTACTGCTTTTTTCTTCGATGTAATTTTTAAAGTATTAACATAAACAAATGGGATCTACAAATGTAACACAGTATATAATACTATTTAGTATTCATTTGCATACCATGTTGCCGTATTCAACTTAACTTTCATTTTTTAAAGTTGCAATTCAAGGGGATCAAAATATTCAAAACGATCTATAGGCCGCATCTGGTGTATACATAAAAAATGAAATTTAATGGTAAACAAAAACTTGGGGTGTATTTTACGTTTCAAGCATGCATGTATCGATTTACCTTGAATACTTAAACGCATCCCACAAAACTATTAGAAATTACCACAAAATTGCCCAATCTATATGTTTCAATTCAAGCATTTTATAATAAGTACTTTTAAATCCAATTTAAATCCAATTAATTAAATGGTAAGTTTCTTGGATTATCCAAACTGGCGCTATTAATCATCAGATGATAAACATAAATTTTATATTTCTTTTTCCTTCTCAAGGATTCAATTCTTAAATATTACAAGCAAAAATATTTAAGTGGCCCTGGACTTATACTACGATATCGACTTATAGGCGAATTCGTCCTTGACACAGATTCCGTTATTTTTATCACAGTTTTCAGTCACTGTCTGGTTATTGTTTATACACGGTGATGTCTCTGTCTCCGTTATTTCAGTGTCTACAATTCTCCTTTGAATTTCATTTTCACAGTTTGTTTCATTTTGGAAGGATGTAAGCAACGTTGAATCTGATTGGTTAATAGGATTATCGTCCTTTTCGCTTTTATGTGATGCATTCCCATTGGACGTCGGTTGTTTAACAGAATTTCGTGTCCGGGACAAAAATGTTGGTGTTGTTCTGATACTCCCGGTCCTGTCCGTAATGTGCCGGCGCCAAACTTTTCTGAATTCCGCCTGTACCTGGAGATAGAATGATGAACATCGCAGGTTATAATGGCAAAGAAAAAAAACGGTCGATCTCTGTTGTTGTAAAATTATAACAACACTTATTTTGATTGATGATATTTTGTGAAAAAGGGGATGGAAATAAAAATATGGACAAACTCTGGTCTAATAGATGCCAAATTCTTTTTATGGAGAGATGGTTTTATTTTTCTTAAAACTATCAATCACTGTTACAAGTGAAATAAGGTTCATAATAAACTTATATAAAAAGTCATTGCAATAATAATAAACAGGCATTCTTACCTCAGCGTTCAAGGCAAACAGAAAAGCATCGCTAGGATAAAACCCTAAAAAAAAACAAAGGTAGGTTATTGAAATTAAAAAAAAAATCGAAGTTAGAAGCCGATTGTCCTAGTCTTATCCGATAAATTGCAGAACCATAAGTATGTTTTGCAAGGAACCTTAACATTTAAGAAACTTGAAATTCAAATCAATTACACCTTACTAATATAGTTTAACATATTTGTATCGAAGTGCCAAGGATAAACGATTTGAATATAAAGTGGCGTAATTCATTAAATGCGATCCATTTAAAACTACAGAATGTCGTAGTTTTTGTTAAGGCACGTAATTCGTTATATCCGATTTTAAAATTAAAAAAACGTCATTTTCATGAAAAGTGACATAATTCGTTATATCGGTACATTTAAAAAAAATTACAGGGATGATAACTTTTTAAAAAATGACGTTATTTGTTTTATCCGATAGAGAACTTTATCGGTAATAAACAATATTTGCCCCCCAAATCAAACTTTGATAGAGATATATTAATTAAAATTAAGTTCTTAAACAAGGGAGTATATATGCTGACCTCAAAGCACTGAATATTTTCATAAAGAATGACGTCATATGTACGTAATAACATGAAAAACATGGCGTAAATTTCAGTTTTTCATGAATTTTACAGAAAAATGTAAATATTTCGTCGATATTTTGAGTAAAATTCACCAAGTGCATGTGTGTTCAGGATCAATATTTTGATATAATGTGTAGAATGATAATATCAATGAAATACGTCAATAATGTTCCTGATCAAACTTGCGCTCTTTGAATTCTAAAGCTAAAATTGTTGCAATTTTGTCCATTTTGTCCTCTTTCTGAAAAAGGATATAAAATCGGACTAGTTTGTAACGTCATAAAAACAAAAATTGTGAATACACTGCTTTGATACTATTATATTTTCTTTTAATTTATATTTCTCATACAATTTATTACATTCAGCACATTTCAGGAAGTTTTCAAAATTTGACTTTTGTGTTTTTGTGTTTTGACTTTATATTGACAAATATATGCAATATACCGCATATAGTTCTTTAAAATGACAGGAAAGTAATTTTTTACGTGACGTAATCTGTTATAAGCGATAAATTTAAAACTACCGGTATATGAAATGGAATCTACTTCGATCTCTGCATAAAGCGTATTATACGTTACCTGAAAGGAGTTGAAGAATAATTCTGACCACCACAAGATGAAGTACATCATGGACTTCTCATCTAGATAGCCGAAGCTTGACATGAGGTAATTAACAGAGTATATGATGTAATAAACCCCGAACAGGGGAATAAGGATCAACGTGGACTTAGCCAAGCGTCTGAAAAACAAAGATAAAGCATCAACTAATGAATTTATGAATTTTTTTTAAAAAGGAAGAAATCAATATCGTTATGGGCTACAAAAGGGGGACTATGAATTATATATAAAATTCTATGAAATTTAATATTTATCCAAAACTATATATTTTTTTTAATTATACATAAAGACTACACTACCTTGGAGAGTAAGATACCTATACAAAATTTTATTCACAAATTAGAGTTTATGAGAGATAGGACAAATTTTCAGTTTAAAGAAATCGAAAAACGTTTATAATATAGTTTAATTTCGTAAGACGTTTATAATTCATTTTCATTTCTTACGTAAAAATAAAAACAAACTAAAGTATCTTTATTTTCAAAAGGCTAGTCTTATAGTTATTGTTTTAATATAGTCGTAGTCATCTATGCCTAAAGGAAAAAGACATAGCTATAAACAGTATTGTTTTGATACAAAAAAAATTAATAAATGTGATAATCCTTTAATGTAATTACATGTTGTTTACGTAAATATACAACATAAGAACCTCTACAAGGCATGCGTAATTTCTGTTTCCCATTGAAGACATAACATTCAGAAATGAATACTCAGTAAGATATAACACAAAACCATATATACATGCATATTCTGTAATATATTTACTATATTCACTGACGTAAAAGCGATATATAGAGTCTATGTTTGACTCTATTTTTAAGGTAATCAAAATTAATTTATTCCAGTTGCTTGCGCATTAGGTCTATGTTAGTCTGACCGGATGTTAGTAATTGTTGTTTGGAACGATTGACTCAGAACTCCTAATGCAAAGTCTTTCGTAAAAATTAACACAAAATCGCTACTTTTAATGTATATTCTTATTTGTCTTAAAACGTTTATATTACACAAAAATACACCATCACAATCTATATATACACCTACAAAACAACATATAACTACATTGTATGCACATGTTAAACATATAAGTACACGTGAACTAAATTTGGTTTTTAAAACAAACGAGATAATTTGCCCATATTTATTATGCCCCCGGAATGGAATAACCGGTTTACCTGTATGTTTGTTTGTCTGTCTCTCTGTTGTCAACTTAAACCTAGCCCATACCATTTGAAGTGGGTATGGCTATGGTTTCAGATTTCACAGGTGCAATTTTTGTGACAGGTTCTTTCTTTGGGTACCACCAAATTTGACCTCTTGACATTGACCTTGGAGTTTGACACATTTTTACTTAAAATTACCAAACTTTAATCTTAGCCATAACATTTGAACAGTTGGTTTTAGGGCTTTCATACTCAATATGAATGTATTTATTTATTTTGACAAGACCTTTCAGTGGGTATAAATATTTTTGACCTTGACCTTAGAGTTTGACTACCTTTTGAAAAAATTCAACCATGGCCATAATTTTTGAACAGCTAGAACTAGGGTTGTTATATTTCACAGGTTTCTTATTACAAGACCTCCTTTTGGATACCAACAATTTTAACTTTTTTACCCTGAAGTTTGACTTGGATTTCAGAAGTTCGATCCTCATCATAAATTGCCATGGGGGGGGGGGGGGGGGGATAGTGTATTTGAACCGGTTTTCATATAACTTTTATAATATTATTTACAAAAGTGTCCGGCCTTTTCTATGTTGATATATTCTACCGTTTATAATGCGCCCGGATCGATAGATCCGAGGCGCATATTGTTTTTGTCCTGTTTGTTTGTCTGTTTATCTGTTTGTCTATTTGTCTGTCTGTCTGTTGTCAACTTTAACCTTCACCATAACTTTTGAACCATAAGAGATACAGACTTCATATTTGGTATGCATACTCCACTAATAAAGTCCTTTCAAATGACATCAAGGTCAATGACCTTGTGACCTTGACTGTGACCTATATGCTAGAGTTTTTTCCACTGTTTGTCATAAACTTTTGAACCATAGGCGATAGGGACTTCATATTTGGTCTGCATACTCCACTAATAAAGTCCTTTCAAATGACATCAAGGTCAATGACCTTGTGACCTTGACTGTGACCTATATGCTAAAAATATCTTTTTACACTTTTTACCTTAACTTTTGAACCATAGGAGATAGGAAATTCATATTTGGTATGCATACTCCACCGATTAAGTTCTTTCAAACGACACCAAGGTCAATGACCTTGTGACCTTGCCTGTGACCAATATGCTAAAAATAGATTTTTTTAAACTTTGTTGCCGCCGGGCGCATAGTGTTTCACAAACACATCTTGTTTTTAACTCTTATTTTTAATAATATGGAGGCCTACCGGTATATACAAGACTAGTATTTACAATACTTGTTAAATTTATATTTATTTAATATATAATATATATAAAATATATAAAATTATATTATAATAAATTTAAATTTGCTAAATTACCCGGTATATTAAAATAAATGCAGGCTTTGTACTTTAAACCATAATAAATGTGAGAGTGGAAAAACCTTAAGCATTTCTTCGTGAGATTTTTTCTAAGGGTCAGATTTGTCAATGAAAGTATTAAAAAATGAAAAAAGCCACAAATCAACAACAATCAATCAAAGCAAACAATCACTAGTTTTAATGGAAAGTTTAATTTGATTATTAATGTCATTGTTATAAATGAATAAAAGATACAAAAGACTTATGCATCGTAATGGTATCTACTTTTTAAACAGTAAACTACAAACTGCAGTCCTAAGATTGGGGGAGGGGTGTAAAAAAACTGAAAATTTGTAATAGACTAATAGAAAGACTGATGCATACACCGTACTTATGTAGCTACTTTTTTGATATTCGACCAATACAAGTATAGAATGAAATGAAAGTGTAAACAATTCACTAGGATGAACACATTATACCAGTGTCTCCAGATGTACCGTTATTTGTCCACTAACCATTGCACGTGCACAAACATCTATGAACATCAGGTGATATGCATCGCTAGACACCTAACAACCTATTAACTTAAAACACACCCAACTTCCTGTTTACCTGATCATGTGACCATCAATGTGACTAAAATAGAAACAAAATGGCGTGGTAACATTCTATAACAACCGTCAAACAAAATTGAAAAGAACTGTAATTAAACTTAAAAGGAAAAAGAGTCATATGAAACAAAATAAAAAAATGGAAGCCATTTCAGGACAGTCATTTTTCCACATAAAAGGATTCTGGATGCTAAGAAGGCAAGCTGGTGGTAGTCGTGAAATACAATAGATTTCCCCCACTGCTATTATCACGTGATTTCTGAAATATACACACCTGTACCGGAAGCTGTTTGTCTGATGCCCGGATGATGCATGAAGTTTGGTGAATAATATTCGAACAATGTTAATGAAAATAATAAACTGTATCTGAAAATGAAAAAAAAAAAAGTTCTGCATGTCTTCAAGACAGAAAAGTTTTATTTTTCATCAAATATTTTACAATGGGCATTTTCTAGTGATTGTTTGTATCGGATAAAAAGATTTAGTATGCATTATTAATTATATGTGATGATCATACTTATGTTCCTTTTTTTTCTACGTTTATATTTCTTTTTCATTAATTCTAAGCAACAATATTTCTAAGTTTGACATACAAAATTAATAATTTTTTTTTAACAAGAGGCCCATGGGCCTTATAGGTCACCTGAGCATTATGCAACAACTTTCCAGTGATTAAACTTGATTCATGTTTTAAGCCAGATGCTATGGCATTCACAATTTTGAAAGAGGCACCATTGATCATCATTACAATACACTTAGCAGTTGCTTAGTTTGTTTACTTAATACCCATACGCAGGGTAAGGGAACACAAAATGCATTTCAACTAATCAGTAATATTCAGCAATAATCAGTAGTGCCCCTACCATACATGAACCCCTGACCCTTTGGCCTTGTTATTTAATTAATACCAAGGAGCAGATTTCAAACCATTCATTCATTTTCAGTATATAAGTACAGCCCCCCCCCCTCTATGGTACCCCTGACCCTGGGGCCTTGAAATTCACAATTCTGTAAGATATGGGCCCTTGTCTATCATAACTATATTCATCATAACTTTATTTGTAGTTCATCTGCTTAATACCCTGGAGCAGAGAAGAAAATTTTTAAAGATTGAATGTATTTTCACTATATAATCAATAGAGCCCCACCATAACACCAGAACCCCTGAGCCTGGGGCTATAAAATTCACAATTATGGAAGAGGCATTCTTGCTCATCATAACTATGTACTTAGTTAGTTTATTTATTTCCTAGGAGCAAAGGAGAAGATTTTCAAAGAATTCATATATTTTCACTATATAATCAATACAGTCCCACCCTAACCCCTGACCCTGGGGCCATAAAATTCATTATTATGGTAGAGGCACTCTTGCTCATCATAACTATGCACTTAGTAAGTTTATTTAATACCCAGGAGGAGAATTGAAGATTTTCAAAGAATTCATGTATTTTCACTATATAATCAATAGAGCCCCGCCCTAACACTAGAACCCCGACCCTGGGGCCAAAAAAATACACAATTATGGATGAGGCATTCTTGCTCATCATAACTATGCACTTAGTTAGTTTATTAAATACCCAGGATCAGAGAAGAAGATTTTCAGAGAATTCATGTATTTTCACTATATAATCTATAGAGCCCCCCCCCCCAACACCAGAACCCCCGACCCTGGGGCCAAAAAATACACAATTATGGAAGAGGCATTCTTGCTCATCATAACTATGTACTTAGTTAGTTTATTAAATACCCAGGAGCAGAGAAGAAGATTTTCAGAGAATTCACGTATTTTCACTATATATAATCTATAGAGCCCCGCCCTAACACCAGAACCCCTGACCCTGGGGCCATAAAATTCACAATTTTGGTAGAGGCACTCTTGCTCATCATAACTATGTACTTAGTTAGTTTATTTGATACCCAGGGGCAGAGAAGAAGATTTTCAAAGAATTCATGTATTTTCACTATATAATCAATAGAGCCCCGCCCTAACACCAGAACCCCTGACCCTGGGGCCATAAAATTCACAATTTTGGTAGAGACACTCTTGCTCATTATAACTATGTACTTAGTTGATTTATTTAATACCCAGGAGCAGAGAAGAAGATTTTCAAAGAAATAATGCATTTTCACTACCTAATTATTTAGCCCCGCCCTAGCACTAGAACCCCTGACCCCAGGGCCATGAATTTCACAATTTTGGTAGAGGACTCATTGCTGATTACAATCATGCAAACAGTTTGACTGCTTGATGTCCAGGAGTAAAGAAGAAGATTTTTAAAGATTGCATTAATTTTAATGGTTTTGGCCCCACCCCTCATAGGGGGCAGGGATCATGAACTTCACAATTTTTGTTCCCCTTCACACATAGATGCTTTATGCCAAATTTGGTTGAAATTGGTTCAGTGGTTGCAGAGAAGAAGCTGAAAATGTTCAAATGTTAACGCACAACGCACGACGCACGACGCACGACGCACGACGACGGACGAAAACGGATAGCAATAGGTCACCTGAGTTTACTCAGGTGACCTAATAAAATACACTGTTCAAATGATAAGTTCAAACATTAAGGTATATATGTTTGATATTTTACCAGAACTGTGGCCGTAATTGGTCCGTATATAATTAACGTAATCAGCTGGTTCCTCTGAATGTTCCAACAGCTGGAGATTAAAAGAAAATAAAAACTAAATTATAATCAGATATATTCCCTATTGTTATACGTAAATAACGAAGCCTTATCGAAATTTATCATATTAAGTGCATGGTAATCCGTTTAACCACTGTTATACAAACTCGCAAAGCAATAATAAGTTCCCAACAACTTCAACAACGCATACTAGTAATTGATAAGTTTACATGACTTGAAGATATCTTTTAATTTTTTTAAATTTAAATGTTTGGGGCCATAAAAATAATCCAATCTAATGTTTGAATCATGTATACTCACAGTTCATTGAATTCAAAAATCCGAACAAGAACCCATGGTACAACAAAACTTAATGGAAATACTGTAAATGGACACACTATTTATTAAATAATTAATCATGTAATGTTAAATTACATACGACTTGGTTCTTGTATTATTAAAACTGAATCTAATCGAGAAGAGCAAAAAGTAACGAAAACATTGTAAACGGACACAAGAGGAATTAAATTATAATAATCTATTGTAAACTAACATATTGGAACATGAATCTATTGCTTAAAATCATCAAAATAAAATTTACCATAAGATGTACTTGATAAAAACGGCGAAGGTCTGACAAAAGCAAAGGTATGCAATAGCACAAAGACAGATTTATATGCAATTTTCTTAAATATTAGTGGTATTGTTGTTCAAATTCGTATTTGAGGAGGCAGTTTAATATCTGGAGGAGTTTGGAAAGCAATTTTTTTGCAAAAAGATCGAAAGGTTTATTAGAGGAAGGACCCAGAATCAGGAATCCACTACATTGAATTTCTTCATGACAGCGTCCAAACCCGCATGCCCTGAAGAGTAAAGGGGTTTTGGGATAAACAGAAAGTTAATGTTTTTTCACATTAACAATATTTGCCAGATTTTTGACTTTTTGACTTAATTCTATTTCCAAACTTTAAAAAAACATCTTTCAGGAGGAAAAAAAACAAGTCCAGGAAATCATAAGATCTGCCAGTTTCCAGTATACTAAGGGTCATACCCAAAATGAGTTCTAAAAACAATCCGAAATTGGATAAAAAATGTTACAGACATGTGTTTGAATTAAAAGAGATTAATAAGTAAAATCATGAAGACTTAATCATTGAAAAGCGTCGTTTGCTTCTTTCTGAGTACCGAGGACATTATTTATTGAACAGCCCTCGTAAGTACATAAGAACTTATAACGTAACTTGTATGGAACTGAAATAAATCCAGCAATACTTACACCATCCTAGTAACATGAACCACTTAGTTCTGTTTTTCTCCGTGAATACAGAGACAGATATCAATATCTGGTGGTACAGCGCCTCCACAAAAATCCACATGTAGCTAGCCGCAAATGTATAGTTATACAGAGATAAAAATAACCGACACTCCCAATGCTGGAATGACAAAAGTGTATACTGTGTAATTTTAAAATAACTGTAAAAAGAATGTAATAAAAGTGTTAATTTAGTAATTAAACAGTGTTGTAAAAAGAAAGTAATAAAAGTGTAAACTTGGTTGTAAAATAGTGAAAGAGAAGGAAATATCTGATTTTTATTGAGATTGAGATGGACTTATATAGAAACCCCTTCCAATTTCTTTAAGCAGATAAAAATAATACTTACAGTGACGTCATCTCTAAATTTAATTTGACCATGGTTATAGTACACGTCACCGGGAAATCCTACGAACTCTACCAGTAGATTTTCCTTGATGAAGGAGACAATGGCACGCAGAATAAAAGACACAAACAGGTTGATATGGATGGCGTTACGAGCACAGTGGAGCTTCCTACAACATTAAATAAATGTACAGGTGTGTACACTCTGTATAGAATCCGAATAGGGCCATGCAATTCACTAGATTACACCATCGAGCATCGACTTAAACGTCGATGGCGCGAAGAACGATGATACAACTGCGCGATAATGCGATGACGATGGTAGGATAGTACGTGGGAGCAAAATTGAATATCGCTTCATCGTCACCGCACTATGTCATTGTGCTATCGCTACATCATACTATCGCATAGTAATATGTAGCATTTCATTGGAATTAAAAAAAAAATGCCTTTAATCCGCGTTAAAAAGAATAAAGCAAACATTAATATTCTCTTCTTGTAAATCTTAGTTGTGATGTTGACATATCATTAAATGCATGAAATATCCAGGATCAAATTCACTCTGTCTAGTACACATATAAGGAAGCAAAACTACTCACTTGAAGTAAATCATGATGAACACGGCTATCACTAAGGACGCCAGGGAGAGACCGTACCCGATGTTATACATCAGACGAACCGAGTCCGCATATTGCTGAAAGTTAAAACAAATAACAATCAATTATTTAAAATAAATTTTTATTAACACGCGCAAAAGCTCAATGGTTAGGGATAACTTGTACACAAAAAATAAGAAGACATGCAGATAAAAATTTCAAAACGTTTTTTAGCGGGGAGGGGGGGGGGTGAGAACATATATACTGTAAATCACTTTTTTATTCGCGAGAACTTTACTTTCGCGTTATCACGCGAGAGAATAAGCTCGCGAAATTTTTTATCTCGCGTATAATAGTAGACCTTAAGATTTTATTGAGAAGTTACAGCAATTCTTGAAATTAATGTCTCGCTAATAAAGAGTAAATGACAGTCTCGCGAAAATAAAGTGTCGGGAAAATTTACTGATCTACAGTATAAAGAACTTCTTGCATGTACATAATAAAAGTGATGGACAAAAGAGCAGTTTATAAATCACTGGCTTTTCCACTTTAACAAAAGGAGTGTTTGATTTTATAACTTTTTTCCTTCTTGTCAGGCTTTCATGTGTATGAATAAAGAATGTGTTTTGAGATTCAGAAGTTAACTATTCAATTTACTCTACTCTCGAGGTGATGTTTACTATAGATGAAAAGTATATCTAAAGCTATATATTTTAAGAAGCACAAGTCACTTGTCTTCTATGATAAAAAAGAAAATAGTCTTCTTTACGTTTGTCGCATAATTCCTATATTTACCTCGATCAGGGCCGGAACTGTACGAGGGTCCTCGTTGGTTTTTGACCCGATGCATTGGGTAAAGTTGGTCCATGTATTGTTGTTGAGCGGATTAACAAACAAGAACCATCCTCATTACATTGTCTTGAAGCATTATCTGTAGTTAGAATAATGAAAATACT